CAAATTATCGAAAAATCGAATGTGATTACAACTCGAATAAGCCCTAGATCACATATTGAGCCAGATTTCTATCAGTATTACATCGATGTTGAATTTGCGCTACTTTCCTTTTTCCAAATAATGTAAAATAAATGAAATTTCGATCGCCGATCACTGAAACGCAGCTAGAAAGTGTATACGCGAAAAAGCCATGTTGCCACTTCTTCTCATTTAACCATGTTCGAATCGTAGAAATTTTTGAAGACCACAGGGTTGCTTTTAGCATTTAGACTCTTAATGCAGAACTGGAGTTGCATTCAGGTGACAAATTTTGTATGGATAAATGTACATTTAGAGTAGCATTTAGAGCTAAATGTGCTTTTACGCGTAAGCAAAAACAGCCCATTAGTCATGTACATCGGGTTTTCATATATATGTATGTATGTACAAGATTTCTCCATTTTTTTTCCTTGAACTAATATTTGCATTTGTTGTTTTATTTTAATTTGGTGTAAATATTCTGAATTTAAGTGTCGGTAAACGTTTTTTTCAACTGCTAAAGCATCACACTAAAATGGTTACTAGTAAGCATATCACGTTATTTTTGTAATTCCCAATTGAGAATAATTTTAATGCCGTCGATTTCCTCCACCACCTGCCAATATCGTTGCAATTCGTATAAATATATTAAGCGTATCCATGTATATCGAAAGACATCTAAAAAAAAAATTTTATTAATAGTGGAATTCGCGCTTCTGTGTATTTTTTGTAAATGTAACTGGAAAAGTTTGTGATTGTTGTTGCAAGTGTATTTATTGTACCACTAACAACAACAAATCACAAGCTCATTGGACCTCCGCACACTAGCCTGCTCAGTCGGACTGAGCAGTCCACCACTCGAACGCACACTGGACTGGGCAGTCGCCGAAAACAGGTTTCAGTTTTGTATACATAAATTTGTCCCCTTTCAGACACGTCAAGTCTTGCTTTCAAGTCTGCTCGTTCGTAGGCGAAGGAGGTGAGAAGAGAGGGGGTACAGATACCTCCGTACTGTCAATTCGTTTCCAAGTTTTCTTGTCTCTTTTGATATTTTCGTTGCTTCCCATTTAAAGAACCAAGGGCTTGAATTCAATTAAATTTGACGCGTGTGGAAGCAACTAGAAAACACAAAAGAGAATGCGAAAAAAATTGCTTTCAAGACTTGACGTGTCTGAAAGGGGACATACCTACGTACCGTCAATTCGTTTCAAGTTTTCTTCTCTTTTGATCTTTTCGTTGCTTCCCATTTAAGAACCAAGGACTTGAATTCAATTAAAGTTGACGCGTGTGGAAGCAACTAGAAAACACAAAAGAGAATGCGAAAAAAATTGCTTTCAAGACTTGACGTGTCTGAAAGGGGACATACCTACGTACCGTCAATTCGTTTCAAGTTTTCTTCTCTTTTGATCTTTTCGTTGCTTCCCATTTAAGAACCAAGGACTTGAATTCAATTAAAGTTGACGCGTGTGGAAGCAAATAGAAAACACAAAAGAGAATGCGAAAAAAATTGCTTTCAAGACTTGACGTGTCTGAAAGGGGACTCACGCTTGATTGTGTTAGTGCATGTGGCACATGCAAACAAAACGAAATACAAAACATGTTGTCTATGTGTGCGTGTCAGTCCACCGTCAATCCGCGATTTTCGCGGACTGAAATGAACGAGGTAAACTCGAACTCTCTTCCCCTTCTTATCCACACAAAACCGGTTTTAGGCGGACTGAGCAGTCTAGTGTGCGGAGGCCCATTCAGTTATACTTACGCAAGATAAAACGAATACTAGTGATGGCAAAAAAAAATTAATATCCGATTGATCGGTTAATTGATTAATCGAAAGCATTCGGTTAATAATTGCAACTAATCGTAAGAAATTAACCGATTAATCGGTCATTTGGTTTAAAATCGAAAATTAATAAGAACCATTTATAACTTGTAAAAACTGTCCCCGTGCACAATATTTTTTTGTTATTTAATTTTAGTTATTTTTTTAAATATAGCTTATTCTTTAGCAAAAAAACCTATAAATATAAATATATCTATCAAAAATTTTGCAACATTAAAAAAAATCAACAGAAAATGCCAGATTTTTAATTAGATTTCTTAGAAAGATTTTCAGTATGTAGTTGTGTAGCTCATTGATTTTTGACATTTTTCTGATTGGTAATGGTGTTGCTTATTTTCTTCCATATAAAAGAAAATGCGAAAAAAAAATAAAATGAAAATATGTGCATACCTGCGTTGTGGTTTTTTAGTAGCTACTTAGGTTTAGCTTTTGTTGCGGTTTTTGGCAAAAATATCGTTTCAAACATTTGCAGAATACGAGAATGTAAAAAACATCCCAACTTATTTTGAATTAATCGCTCGATCAATTGAAAGGAAAATTTTACAATTAAATCGTTAACCGAATGAAAATAATTGATTATAATCGGTTATTCGATTAATCTTGCCATCACTAACGAATACACAAACGTCACTAATGATTACGCATATATGTAATCGTACTTACGCATTAATGGGGTCGTAGGGTTTTGCGAATATTTGGGGATGATTCTCAGCGTAGCGTACTATACGTTGCGTGTCATAAAGCAAGAAGCCTCCGAAAAGAATTAGACCACCATAAAGTGACATCGAAGCTAGGCCTAATACAGTATTTTAAAAGATATTATCCGATTATTATTCTGAAAACGCTTACCTGCACCCAAAGCTGTGGTTGGTGGAAGCCACATAGAAGCTAGAGATGATGCAAACACCAAACCAAGGCCTACAGCCAGAGGACCACCCATGTACAAAAACTTATCACTTGGTGCACATACGGCTACTGTCGAAAGGCCACCCACAATACCAGCGGTATACAATGCAGCCCTGGTAAGGACTGGCCCTCCAAGGAAGCACATAGGTGCGATAACTCCGCCCATGACGGCGCAGTGTAAGGCCCAAGCCATTTGTTTTGGGCCAAAGCCGGGTTGATATTCGATGGATTGGGTTAAAACACCGGTACCAATCATAAGAGCAAAAGTACCTAACATTGACTAGAAGACCGAATTACTTTTCAAATATGCGAAAAAATACAAGTACATACCATCCATCCGTTTCTTGTTGCAAGCGAAAGCAAGCGAGGTGAGCGAAAAACTGCCATTGCAGCTCCTGCTGTTATGGCACACGATGCCCCGAAATATCCATAAGTAGTGTGAACTCTTTCGCGGACAAACTCCGGCCATAACCTTCAAAATATAACATTTTAACTTGCTTTTTTTTTTAATAATTTTCTTTCTTACAAAGAATTTGTGTAAATACTCGGATCTTTATTCAAACCGAGACCGTAAAAGCACAATGCTCCAAGTCCGATAGCTGATGCTCCTGCTGCTGCACCTTTGCCAATTGAATATGCTGAAATATAAATTAAAATATCAGTTTCAAATCATTTACTTGTTACTGTTGTCCTATTACTCACCGTTTTCAGAAGGAGGTCCCATAAGCTTTTCCTTTAAAGTAGGTCTACGTCCCACCTCGCTACGAGTGTAAGAACCACGCGTCGGCCCACGAGCATAACTTCGCGATATATTTATATTACACGATTTTAGGCAATTTTGTAGAGTTGGTCCCAAGGAAGTTGATCTTATTACATTCCCAGCAGCCCCTGCTTTCACGCAAAAACGCACTGGTAGGGTAGTTAATGCGAATCGAAGCAACATTCTCGTCTGATGAAATTCGTGTGTGGTGTTAGGAAATTCTTTCTGCAGCTATCTACTAAAATCTATTTTCGCCAGGAACTCTAATAAAAAAAAAAGTCGAAATAACATTAATACATTAGTTATATTCCCGTCAAGATTACGTTTTATATGAGGATGCCGAATTAATTTTTAGAATTTTCTAGGTCAATATGAAATAGTATTGATGTGCTGAAATTTCGGTACCCAATACCTCAGAAAAATTTCGATACCCAATACCTTTCAAGAGAATATCTGTCAATAAAGTGGCATCGACTTTATTTCGACTATGAATCAGGGATTGGCATTGGTTGATCGTCAACATGATGCAATAAAAGGTGGTATCAGTTGTGACAGCTCGATATGACACCGCCTTAGCTCAGTAGAATGAGAAGAAAAACGGGAAGAAATGAATCCCCATATGGGGGAAAAATATAAAATTTCACATTTTCTCCTAAACAAGATTTGCTTTTCTATAGTATATTCGTTATGAAATGAAATAAAATACCTTTTTAAGAAAACAAAGTGTGTATACTGAGAAAAAATTAAAAACATTCCACTATATTAATGGGCAAAGAATAGTTAAAGAAGTAACACAGTTTCACGTAAGGCAGTCAATATGGCGGAATTAGAGCGAGAAGTTGCCAACTGATAAACCTTGTATTATTGCATAATGGATCGTCAACTGTTTCATACTCACACCCCTATTGCGAGTGTCGACTGGCAGTAGATAAACGACTATTAAGCGATTATCGATTATCGATGGTATTGTGAGTGTCGCTTAGTCGCTCAATTAGCGACTGTGAATACTTTTTAAGCGAAGCGCACATTAGCGCGATTCCATCGTTGCGAATACGTTGCGAATTCGGCTGTTAACTTCGAACCCGCAAACGTGCGCACACTTGAGCGATTTTTTCGCGTCAATTTCCGATGTACAATTCACTCAATTTTCCCTTTATTTCGTGTATTTTCGCACTCGGCGTGCCCAAATCGTACAAAATACTATTATTACGAACGTTTTTATTAGTTTTTGTACATTACACGTTTTCTTTTCTTTGCCTTTATTGCTGTGACACCTTTCTTCTTCTTCTTTGACGCCTTCAAAACGCTGCAAGCCGCGTTTCGAACGCGTCAATAGAGAGGAACATTGAATGTTCGAAAAATTCGCAGCGACGGAATCGTGCAAGTGTGCGCTAGCGCATTAAAATGTATGGGTAGCATTGTTGTAATTTTTGGTCTTGCGGATTCGCAACGACAGAATCGCGCCAATATGCGCTTTGCTTTAATCGCTCATCCTTCTATTGCTGTTTTTTAGTCGTTGGAGTTTGCGTTTATAAAATTTACATAAGAAAGTGGTACTATAATGGATAAAAAGTAAGTCAATTGAATTGGAAGTTGTAAAAAATTGTGAAATATACATATGTATGTACATATGTGTCTGAATTACAGATCAAAAATTGTAAGCAACAAAAGGCAACTTGCGCGGTTGGTCGAGCTGATGCAGGAGAGTGAGGACATAGGCAAAGGAATTTCCGTAAAGAGCAGGAGAGGAAGCTCCGCTTCTTTTGTGAAAGATATACAATATTTCTTGTGCATATAATTCCGGCTACGCCATCCACAGTGTTTTTGCGCAGAACCAACATCAAAGTTTACAAAAAACTGCATAATTTATTAATTAACTAGTGCTCGGAAACTTGGAATCTTTGTTAAATTAAAGTTTAATTCTTTCACTACACTTGTATGTTAAAGTTTTAAAACTCGGGTCACGCGTTTGGACACAAATACTCAACATCATTGTACAAATAACTAAACGGTACCGTATTTCTTAAACTTCCATAAAATGTATTAATGAGGAAACAGCTTTTCCTGCAAATCCTGTAAAACCTAAAAACCTTGAAGCATCGGGAACGCAGCTTCTATTCATAAAATTCACATATGTACATACACTTCATCTTCCAACTCCAAGGGATCCGACGAATCTCGCAATTCCCTCCTTGCTTTAGCCAACTCTACTAATCTATTAGCTTCCACATCATCTTCCTCATCACTAAACCATATTTCAACTGTGTCCATTTTTCTAATTTTATAATAAAAGCAATTATTTTAAAAATGATGTGAATAAAACATTAAAGAAACAAATGTAAACAAACAAGCAGCTGTTTACAATTCCGTCAACCATTCACAATAGTACACATTTTTATCGATCAAGTTACACAATAGCAAAATAAAAGATGATCGACTCGATCGACAAATTTCTATTCTACTGCCAGTCGACACTCGCAATAGGGGCCTCAATCAATACCGCTGCTTTGTATGACTGAGCAGCGGCGTTGACTTAGTAGTATCGATACCTAAACGAAATTAGAGGATGACTGAACACCAGCGCATAGCGTGCAGTGTTGCCACAAAATTTTTTTATTTTTTACCAAAGTCACCAGAAAAAGTTACCAAATTCAACAAAAAATTACCAAACTTATTTTAAAAGAGAGTTATACATACGTATGTATGTCTGTACATAAATACATATGTATATTCGAAGACACCAAGCTTTTCAGGCAATCAGCGCTCAATTCAGCTATAATTTTTATATCTGCGTGAACACTGAAAGCCACAACACCATAAAAGCTTGGTTAGGATTTTAAAACTAAGTGTGGCCGAAGAAACAAATTTGTCGTTTGCGCGTCGTTTTAAGAACATGGTACCTCTTATGGCTCAAAATGGTATATTTGGCATTTGGATATACATTTCCGTAAATTTGTGCAAAGCTCAGGCCACAAAACAGCTGAAGGCATCTAATTATTCACCGTGCCATGGATACAGTTCATTGCAAAAGAGGATTAGGTTAGGTTAGACTGGGCGGCAGTCCACCCCACCACCAACACTTTTCTGATTATGTATGATTATGTAGAGGGGATGTCATTCGGACACTGAGATCATCCGTCTTGGCATCATTGGAATTTTTATGAGGCCATTCGGATGACCGTAATTATGCGAATAAACCTCAAACTTTGGAGCACTTTAAAATCAACATTTGTCCAGTTATGCCCAATAGACATACATACACATGTCAACAAGTGGCTGGAAATATCTAAAAATTAAACGCTTGAAGGCAGTCCTGAAAGCTTTCGACTCACGTATAGACAAAAGGAAGCTCCCCTGATTTCTGTATATTTTTGAACGTGAACATATATATTTACATAGAATTCTACTCATATGGTTGTCGGGGTGCACAGGAATACTGAAGGCGATTGCAAAGCTGGCGAACTGACAAGGAAAGGTACGCCCACCCAAAACCTTCCGGGAAAGGACACGGTAGATATAGGAAAAGCCAATTTGTTAGAGACCATTCCAGTAGTGACCAAGGAACGTTGGAACAACTTTTCGCCATGAACTCCTGATATTGCTTTAACAGGAAACGCTTACGGGCCACTTCTTCAAGTGAAATCAGTACCTGACATGTAGGAACGATTTGAAAAAGTTACCAAACTAAAAAATAAATTACCAAATTACCAAATAAATAATAATAAATGAGAAATAAAGAATTACCAATTTTGGTAAAATATTACCAAAGCGGCAACGCTGATAGCGTGCTGTCTTGCAAATACAGCCACCACAAGTGAGCGATGCTTATAACCGCTCATACTGATATTGACTTCGGCAAACCTGTACTCCGAATGATACGCGGCAGTTGAACGGTTCCGAAAGCATGAGAGCTCATCACTTGTTGCACAAGTCGTTTGACTTGTTGCTGAAAATCATCTGACTTGTTGCTGAAAGCCATTTGACTTGTTGCTGAAAATCATGTGACTTGTTGCTGAAAGCCATTTGACTTGTTGCTGAAATGACGACGAATGTGGTAAAGGGTAATTTATCGTCTCGTATGCATGTATGTATGTATTTATAGCGCGTCTACCATTCAATTGCTTTGATGGCTAGTTGTGAGGAATGTGCATACGTACGTATGTATGTACATATCAATGCTTCATTTCAAACAAGCAAGTGTCGTTGAATGTTTTTGAACTACAGTACCATCACTTCGGCAACACGTCAATAGCGCCTTCACCAACAAACCAAAGGCGGCGGTTTGACTTCTGCAACAAATCATGTTACTGTTTAAACCTTAAGAATTAATTGTTGCTCTATTACAATCCTACTATAAGAAATCCTGAAATACGAAATATCTTTGTACGTTAAATTGCAACCATGCCTCGCACGTGTAAACGTCGTTGATTTGGACGAACTGATCTGTATGTAGCCGTTCGCCATTTCAGAGACGTACGAGGACACGGATAAGTAAGACATACATATAATCTGCTGGCGAATATTACCTTAATTAATTTCATTTACAGATATTAAAACCACTCCCAATCAGACTTAAGACAACGATTGTATAAAACCGTATAAATATACAATTTTCATTAAAGTGCGTTCCTAATATATCCGTGTTTCTATTTCGAACCACATCGTTAGCCGCCACCTTGTACGTCGCTTTAACGTTGCTATTGTGCCAGCAACATTCTTTTAATATTTATCCTGTGATTTCTCTAAATATTCGCACCGCGATTATCTATGAAATCATTGGACTTGCCCCGTGGCAACCGAGAAACTTCCGAAGAAGAACAACGCTACCACTTGCGAAGTCGGATAGTCACATCGAACATTCGCGAAGTCAACGTGGCCGACGAGAATTGTTCGAACAGTGGCGACGAAACTGACTGCACCATTATGCAACAAGACAGCACATTGGCAGATCTGCGCGAACAGATTAAAATGCTGCAGAAGTCGCTTGCCACAGCGGAGCAAGAGAAGCTCTACTTAAAGGAAAAAATGAATCGTCAATCTATCGACGTTAATGCCGCCGAAGCTACTACCGCCAGCTTCAAAAATGTCGAACCTACAATACCCAGCCCTATCGTTACTAGCCGCTCAACAGCCGTCGCCTCAAATTGCCTTGAAACTAATCTTAGTGCTGCCAGCGACTTAACTAGCGCTACCCCGGCCCACGAAAGGGCCATCGTAACCTTTGCCGGCGTAAACTATGCCAACGCCACTTCTGTCAACGCCACTGGCTTGTATCCAGTCTATGGTAACTATACCACAAATTATTCTCCAATGCAGTCTAGCCAGAACTTCGCAACCGCTCACCAAAGTACAGGTTTTCCGCCAATCAACAGAAGTNTTGAAACTAATCTTAGTGCTGCCAGCGAC